CTTTGAACCTCAATAGTTCCCCCATGAATAGTCCAGGGATTACCCCACCACAGTTCATGTCTCCGAGGCATCGGGTCAGCCCAGGGCTGGTGCCCAGACCCCGAGTTCCCAGCAATCCCTTCTCGCCCACCATGCCCACCATGCACTCACCAGTTGGCATGGCCAACAGCGCCGGCGGGGGCGGCACTGGTGGCACCAGACCCTTTCCCAGCGCCCCCATGAACTCTATGCAGGGGCTGACCGAAGGTCCCAGCACGCCGGTGGGCTACTCCACGCCACCCCCCGTGCTGAGACAGCTCAGCTCCCAGAGCTCGCCCGGCCGCCTCGCCATGCAACCCATGAAAGCAGAGTCCAAGGACAGCAAAGAGATCGCCTCCATCCTGAGCGAGATGATCCCAGACCCTTTCCCAGCGCCCCCATGAACTCTATGCAGGGGCTGACCGAAGGTCCCAGCACGCCGGTGGGCTACTCCACGCCACCCCCCGTGCTGAGACAGCTCAGCTCCCAGAGCTCGCCCGGCCGCCTCGCCATGCAACCCATGAAAGCAGAGTCCAAGGACAGCAAAGAGATCGCCTCCATCCTGAGCGAGATGATCCAGTCGGACGGTGGTTCGGGGGATGGCAAACCGCTGGACTCGGGCATGCTGCACGCTGGTGACCGGCTCTCGGAGGGGGACAGCAAGTGCTCCCAAGCCACCAGCCACAAGCTGGTCCAGCTCCTGGCCACCACGGCGGAGCAGCAGCTTCGGCACGCCGATGCGGACACGAGCTGCAAAGATTCGTTAGCCTGCGCGGGCACCGCTGGCACCTTGGCCTCCGGCAACCCTCCCAGCAGCACCTGCCCTTCTTCCCATAGCTCGCTGACCGAGCGGCACAAGATTTTGCATAGACTCCTTCAGGAGGGCAGTCCTTCTGATATTACCACCCTGGCCATGGAGCACGAGAAGAAGGAGAATGCCCCGAACCCCGCCACCACCCCCACGGCTCAGAGCCAACTGCCGGGAACCCCGGACATCAAACTGGAGCCAGACGCGCTGAAGAAAAAAGATGTCAAGGATCACCAGCTCCTGCGCTATCTGCTGGACAAGGATGAGAAGGAGCTTGCTGCGGCCCCGGCGCTGAGCCTGGACGACGTGAAGGTGAAGGTGGAGAAGACGGAGCAGATGGAGCCCTGTAACACGGCCCCGGTGCCGCTCGCCAAACCTCCTGCCGCGGAGGAGGTCAAGCTGGAGACGCAGGGCCAGGTGAGTTGACCCGCCTGCATCTGTGCTGGTGGGATGCTCTCGACAAGTCGTGTTTTGGGGGCAGTTTCCCCCAAACCTGCTGGCGTGCTCCCTCCACAGCGAGGCAGTGGGGCTGGGAGAGGTGTGGGGAGATATTCTGTGGCTACCGCAACCTTCTGCACTGGTGCCACCTTCTCCAGCACTGGTGTCCCCTTCTCCAGCACTGGTGTCACCTTCTCCAGCACTGATGCCACATTCTATAGTGCTGGTGCCACCTTCTGTGGTGCTGGTGTCACCTCCAGCACTGGTGTCACCTTCTCCAGTGCCGGTGCCACATTCTCCAGCACTGATGCCACCTTCTGCTGTGCTGGTGCCACCTTCTGTGGTGCTGGTGCCACCTTCTCCAGCGCTGGTGTCACCTTCTCCAGCACTGGTGCCACCTTCTCCAGCACTGGTACCACCTTCTGCTGTGCTGGTGTCACCTTCTGTGGTGCTGGTGCCACCTTCTGTGGTGCTGGTGTCACCTTCTCCAGCACTGGTGTCACCTTCTCCAGTGCTGGTGCCACATTCTCCAGCACTGATGCCACCTTCTGCTGTGCTGGTGCCACCTTCTGTGGTGCTGGTGTCACCTTCTCCAGCACTGGTGTCACCTTCTCCAGCACTGGTGCCACCTTCTCCAGCACTGGTGTCACCTTCTGTGGTGCTGGTGCCACCTTCTGCTGTGCTGGTGCCACCTTCTGTGGTGCTGGTGCCACCTTCTGCTGTGCTGGTGCCACTTTCTCCAGCACTGGTGTCATCTCCAGCACTTGTGTCACCTTCTCCAGCACTGATGGTATCCCCTTTTGTCCAGATGCTTCACTTTTTGGCAGCTCAGATCTTCAAGGCAATGGTGGGAAGGAAGGGGAAGTTTTACTGAGGTGTATAAAAATAAGAAAGAAACCTGGTGCATCCCTGCAGGTGGTGGACTTGAGCGAGGAGAAGACCACGTGCGTGTTGCCATGCAAAAAAGTTCTTAATTCTGCATCTCCGGGCACATTCAGGACTCGTGTCCTAGGGAATTTTCAATTCCTCGCCCTCTCGCTGGCTGAGATTAGCAATTATATGGGCCTTTTAGTTATCCTAAAAGTATTATTAAATTGAATAATCCAGTGACACATCTCTGCAATAGAGATTTGGGTGTATAAATATTCATTACGCGCGGCTATGAATAGAAGAGATTTCTTCTTTTTTGAAAGCCAGGGGAGATGGTAACATGGATAAGGCTGCTTAATCCTTTTTAAGCAAAGAGAAGAGAGCGGCTGACATGAAGAGCGGGGCTGATCGCCTGCTTACCGACTGCGGCAAATATGGCTGCCGGCGGTTGGAGATAGGGGATGAATAACGGAGCGCTCGGAGAGCCTCGAGTGACAAATACACAATAAGTCTCTTAATAAGGTTAAGGGCTCGGTTGGTTTAGGAGTCGCGGTCGGTTACGCTGGAGGCGAGTGGGAATCAGAACTCCTTACCTCTTTCCGTAATGTTCTTTCCTGGTCTCATCGGCATCGCCCTCCCCATCATAGAATCACAGAATGGTTTAGGTTGGAAAGGACCTTGAAGATCAGCAAGTTCCACGCCCCCTGCCCTGGGCAGGGACACCTCCCACCAGCCCAGGTTGCCCAAGGCCACCTCCAGCCTGGCCTTCAACACCTCCAGGGATGGGGCCTCCACAACCTCTCTGGGCAACCTGTGCCAGTGCCTCACCACCCTCACAAAAAGTCCCTCCCCAGCTCTCCTGTAGCCCCTTTAGGGACTGGAAGGTGGCAATAAGGTCTCCCCGGAGCCTTCTCCTCTCCAGGCTGAACAGCCCCAACTCTCTCAGCCTCTCCTCATAGGAGAGGGGCTCCAGCCCTCGGGTCATCCTCGTGGCTCTCCTCTGGACACGCTCCAGCAGGTCCATGTCCTTCTTACGTTGGGTACTCCAGAGCTGGACGCAGTACTCCAGGTGGGGTCTCACCAGAGTGGAGTAGAGGGGCAGAATCCCCTCCCATTTGATGTCCCATCATCTAGATTAACATAAATCGCCTCCGGATTAGGAAGACCCAAGTGAAGACGTGCTTATTTTAGGAGGCACGTTGGAGCTTGCGTGTGGGCAGTGAACCTGGTACCCACTGGTGAGCCGGGTCCCCACCGCCGTGCTCCTGCAGAAGGCACAGCGTCCTGCCGGGACATGCGCAGGCTCTTGGATGGAGCCACCCCGACTTGCTTTCAGGGAGCTGGGAGCATGTCGGGGAGCGCGGTTGTAGCCGAAATTAGGCCAAACACCAGGGCACGGGAAGAGCTTTGCTCGCCTGGTCTGCCAGACATCCACGTGCAGGATTCGCTCGCCGGCCGGGGCTGCAGACGGCTCTTTGCTGACCATCAGTGATGGTTCCAGATACACCATCCTCCGGAGAGGGCGGAAAGCCCTATTAATTAAACGAGGCTGCGCTAGCTAATTGTGCTCTGCTGGCCAACAGGCACACCGAGCTCGGCTGACTTCGAGCCTGCATGTTTTCATAAGCCCCTCTCCGGCGCTTGGAAGCGGACGAACATTTTTCGGCTCCTTTGTGACTTTTCGGTTCCAAGTATCCCTCCCCGGGCAGCGGGAGAGCGTCGGGATTATACGTCGGACCGTTACTGAGTGCTTCCAAAGAGTTAATAAAAGAGGCTGGAGAGGGTTTGCGGAGTCTTAAAATGGATTTTCCGAGGAGCCAACAGCCCGTCAGTGCTCAGCAGCTAAGGATGGAGTTCCGTTCCCACGTGTTCTCTGTTACGGGCTGCTCTGCCGCGGCGCGGGGAGGGGGAGCTGCCGTCTGAAAGAAAATCTAGCACGTGCTAGGTTTTTGTTTTCGTGTGTGGTTATTTTAAGAATCAAAATGTCGATTAGGAGCAACGTCGATTGTGGGGCGGCCTCTGCAGCTCGTCTTCAGCCTCGAAGGAATTCATTCCTTTCCGGATTTATCCTATGAAAACACCCCGGGATTGCTCAGAGCCGCCTGTTAATGGGGTGAGAAGAAGAAATATTTGGGTAGGGCTTGGGAAGGAGCTGATAGGAATTACAAGAGTTAAAAAAGAAAAAGATGAAAGGAAAAGAATAAGCAAGGTTTTGGAAGGGCTCTTCATCCTTGTGCTTCAAGGCGGGAGCTGAACTTCAGGTAGGGGAAGAGGAGCCTTTCCTTCAGGTCAGATTGTCTTCTGTCTGCCCTTGGGCATGGTGCTGGGCAGCAGGCAGCGCCGCCTGCACGTGGGAGCGCTCCGCCACGCGTGGGTGGTGGAGTCCAAAGAGAAGTCATGGATGCCCCCACCACTGGGAGTCTTCGAGGTCAGGTTGGACAGGGCTTGGAGCAACCTGATCTAGTGGAAGATGTCTCTGTCCATGGCAGGGGGTTGGGCTAGATGATCTTCAAAGGTCCCTTCTAAGCCAAACCATTCTGTGATTCCATGAAAAATAAAGTTTTACCTTCGTTTTCATTCGCTTTTGGCTCTGAATCTACAGTTCAGCTTGTTTTCGCAAGCAGGGTAGAATCCTTTTCTTGAAAAAATGTAGAGGAGTGACAACGGAGAGCGGGACATCCCTATGGATGGAAATAGCTGCCTCCGGGATCCTGAGCTCCACAGAAAGCTCAGACGATCTGAAGCTTGCAATAAATTCATGGGATCATTTCATTTGTGCAAGTATTTTCTTGCCCAAGTGGCTTGGGAAGAGAAGTGCCTCCGCTCCACGGGAAGGTCCAGCCGGGGATGAAGGTTTGCTGGCTGGGTACCACCTGGAAGCATCTCTGTCCTCCTCGCCCAGCTGATTTCACGCGTGGGGCATCCTGCGAACCGGCTGGACGAAGGTTGAAGGGCAGAGAGGAGATCTTGTCCTTTGATTTGCCTTTCGGTCGACTCTGGTTTTGGAACCTTGTTTCTGTCGGCAGCCGGAGGTTTGGGGAAGAAGAAGCTGTTCAGAAATATTCAGCCACCCCGTGTCTCCGTCCCTCACACCGTGGGTTTTCTCACCTCTTTGGGGACAGAAATAGGTCGTGGAGATCTGAGCTTTCTCTGAGCAAGACTGGATGGCCTCAGCTTCTCCAGCCCTCCAGCGCTGTGTGTTTTTAAGATGTCAATGAGAAATAAAACAGCCATTAAATTGGGCGCAGATTCCTGGTGCCAGTTCAGGTGCTCCAGAAAAACAACTGATGAGCACCCTGCTCCCACCACGTGTCCTTCATTCCCTGCTCTCCGTCCTCCAGCCTCTTCACAAACCCAACGAGCGATGGAAGAATTTCACTGCTCTCGTTTTATCTCCACTTAACGTCCGTTTTGGATGCCCACAGCTGCCTCTGTGCCCTTCTTTTCCCTCTGCCTCCAAAATGACCTTCCTGCAGGAGGAGATGGAGTTGAGAAGTATTTCTGCCGTGTCGGCGGGGTCTCTCGGGTCTCAGATGCAGGACTGGGCTCGTGGTTTCGATGGAGCCACCATTACTGGAGGATCCGTCCCAAGGTGGAGCTTCCCGCTGCTGCCCCGGGCTTTGTCCTGGCAATTCTCCCACCTTTGCGCCGTTTGCCGCCCGTGGAAGTGAAACTGGAAGCAGCTGCAGTGGCGACGGGGATTGCCACCGGTTTGGAAGATATTATTCGAGATGTGACATATTTCCAGCGAGGATTTAGGGAGAAACTTCCCATGGTTTCTTCAAGCAAGGGACAAAGCTGTCACCTCGGTGAGAGGTCTTTACCGCTGCTCCGTGAGCTGGGGAAGTGCAGAGGCGTCCCGGTGATGCCCAGAGCCAGCAGCTTCGCAGAACCACAGACTCCCAGACTGGTGAGGGCTGGAAGGGCCCTCTGGAGCTCCCCCAGTGCCACCCCCCGCCAGAGCAGGGGCACCTCCAGCAGTGGCACAGGACGGCGTCCAGGCGGGTTTGGGATGGCTCCAGAGGGGGAGACTCC